AATGCTTATTGGTAAGTTTAGTGCTTTATTGATATATTTAATACTAAAATATAAACTTGGATTTCTGGTATTTCAAGAATTTATTGAGTATAACTGTCTTAAAGTTTTTATTCCCTGAACAACCAACTGAATTGAATTAGCCCTGCAGTAGACCACACGTTCTAAAATGCTACTTTATCATAAAACAACTCATTTTCTATGGGTTATAGAAAATGATGCCTGTGATTACTGTGAAAGGATGGCGTTTGAAACATGAGGCTCAGAGGCAAAAAAAAAAAAGAAATTGGTGACATCTATACTCTAAAAATGAAGGCAGAAAGCCTTCAAAATTGATCTCATCAATCTTGAGCTCCGAAGCACAGCTCGGTCGGGCTGCCAGCCTGTGCTTGCCCCATCTTCTGTGCATATTTCCCAGCCGTAGTCAAGATCTCCGCGTTCAGAATTCTGATGGAATGGAGGCTGTCTTCTGAACTGGATTCATCACTTTTATTCTGACAATACTATAAATCTGAGGGAGCCAGAGGACAAAGAATACCAGGAGTCATCTGAGGGGCAAAGCGCTCATGGACGGCTGTGTGGTGGGTCTTGTCACATAGCATCGTGGGAGAAGACAAACAGGAGATTTTTACTCAACATTTAACACACGTCTCCAGAGCACCAGCCCTCCGCCAGGCCATCTCTCAGGGCCCTGACCTCTCCTTCCCTCTTTTACTCCAGCTGTTTGCTTTGGTCTTCAGTTCTTGCAGCTCCAGAACTGAACTGGCCTCTCAGCCTAGGTCTCCACCTGGAGGCGGAAGGAGAGGCAGCAGAGCCATCTAGGACGGTCTCGAGGACTCCAGAAAGAGGCCTGCCCTTGACCCGCTCAGAATCCATGGCCCTGAAAACATGGGGCATAGAGTATCTTTTGAAAATCAGGCTTCTTGCTGACCAGAAGTGTACCTATGAGCAGAAAATGTAGACCTTAGGGAAAGTCCTTCTGCTTATCTGGGACGTAGTTTTCTTGTGTAAAGTGAGGCAGTTGCCGGAGATGACCACCAGGGCCCTCCAGTGCAGCCCTCCTTTCCTGGCCTCCCACCATGGGACTCTCAAGTCAGAACCCAAGCTTGGGCTTCTAAGTGAGGACTGTGACTGCTCAAGCAGCTGCAGACAGACTTTTGCTCCTGATTCTCCCAGAGCCTTGTTTCAACACAGACTTCCCAGACATGTCTCCTTAACATATGGGATATCTGCCCATTTCCTTGCATGGATCATGCAAGGTGACGGCAACTTGGGTTGCTCTTCCTGGATTTTAATGTAGGAACTTTAGATGATCAGGTATCCAATAGACTTGTTGAATATTTGCATTGGTTCCGCCAGAATTTGGGTCACATAGATATTTCTAAAATTAAAGATGCATGTGTTTGTGCATTAGGGTTGGCCTAGCTAGGACTGCCAAATTCTGTGGGAATTCTTGTTTCCATGACAAGACCGATGTTTGGATTTTTCTAAGCATTTCAGTATATTTTCAAAGCATATTAAAAACATACTCATCATAATAAAATATGAATTATTTCCTTGTTCTATATTCATTATTGTTTTTAAAATAGGAATAGAGTGTCTCTAAGGAGACAACTCTTGTCACACTAAATAATTTTTTTCACTTTGCACATGAACTTGCTTTGCATCTTATTTTTCAGTAAATTATTGATATTTTTGGAAGTCTTTTTTTTATTATTATTATACTTTAAGTTCTAGGGTACATGTGCATAACGTGCAGGTTTGTTACATATGTATACTTGTGCCATGTTGGTGTGCTGCACCCATCAACTTGTCAGCACCCATCAACTCATCATTTACATCAGGTATATCTCCCATTGCAATCCCTCCCCCCTTGGAAGTCTTTAAGTGATTTGGTTGATAGGATAATGATTCTGATTTTGAGGCAGTTTGTTCTAATTCTAACTTGAAAATTTGTGGTTTTGTTTAGATTCCACATACAATTCATTTATTCTCTGGGAAGAAGGAAAAGACCTTTTATGGCTTCATGTTCAGTTGGTGCTTCCAAGTTATATGTACACACACACACACACACACACACACACACACACACACACATACACACAATCTCTAGAAGCGGAGAAAGAGGTGGGGGACCCACATCCCTGCTGTGGCCAGGACAGTCTCAGGAGCTCACTTTGAAAATGCTCTGTGATAGTCAAGTGCGAGCACCATATTGGAGCCTGGGTGTGTCTTCCATTTGCAAAGCGGATTAAGAGCCCAAATGGAACATTTGTGGGTTTGAGCACGTTCTGTAGAAGCCCCTCAGAGCCTGTCCTGTTTGTATTTCTGTGAGGTCATCACATAGCCCATCACTGGAAATTCACTTGAGTATCAAACATTGAAACTGTGATGTTTCATGTCATTCTAGTAGTTCTTACACTGTCATTTTATTGCCATGTTGAACTTGCCTGATACTGAAATTTTGCTCTCAGGTGACATGAAACATTGTTCTGGAAATAATCTTATGTTTACAACCATACTGGCAGAACTAAGATGATTTCTGTTCCATTGGAGGATTTTTTTTTTTTAAATAATGATTACTACTTAAAAAAGAATTCATATGCCTGCCCACGAGATGGAAGGAAAACACTGGAGGCAGCCCCACTGGTGGTGTGCAGTGGGCTTCAAAGCTGACCAGTGGCCACAGAGCTCTGCCAAGCCAGTGAGACCCTGGGAGGTTTGTACTGTTCTGTGCCTCAGAATTCAGTTCCTCCACCTCCGGAATCTGAGGACTGGCTACAAGTGAGGAAGTCCACACAAAGTTTTTAGCTCTGTTTTGAAGTTCATTTCAAGTGACAGACTCCCTTCAGCCACTTCCAGGAGGTGTCAGTAAGAACCACTGCCTGAAAGAACTGAGCGTACAGCAGTCTTCACCCTCACCAGGACGGGTAGGTTTGTTCAGGTTCAGAACTTAAAACAGATACTTATTAGGAATTTTCAACACTGGCAAGTTCCTTATGATTAACTCTAGGATGTGGCAGGTGGGACACGGTGCTCCATTAAGGACAGTATACGCAGTTCCCAGTTGAGTTGCTGGCACACAGTAGGTACTTTATTCTGCTAAAAACACAGCTAGGTGTACTGCAATTAGATTCTGACGCCACCTGGAGTTGGTGCAGACCCCACAGGTTAGAGGGCACAGTCTCCAACAAGACTGCCCTTACTTCCCATGCCCCCCATGTGCTGGAGAGCCCCAGGCCACCTGCACTTCTGACCAACTGACTGCATTGGATGTTCCCCACGATTCCCTCAGGTTTGCTCATTTGCTAGAATGACTCACAGAACTCAGAAGAGTGCTCTAATGACAAAAATTATCATTGTAATCAGTGTTACAAAGAATACAAATCAGGACCAACCAAACGAAGTGACAGACCAGCAGGGCCAGGCGGAAGGAGCAGGCTGGGAGCATGCAGGTCTTCTGTGCCTTTCCCTCATACAGGCGAAGTCTAGGAAGGCGTAGTTTTCTGGCCTGGAGTCCTGTGGTCAGGGTGTGTCAAAGCCCTGGGTATGGATGCGCTCTCACAGGGAGACTCTGTGGCCGCCTCAGATTGCATCCTGGGGGCAGGCATTTAAAGTGACTGCAGGGGAGGAGCCAGGAGAAGAGACAAGGCCCAGGAAGAGGGTGTTAGGGTGGACAGTTGGCGAGGTTACTGGAGAGAAGGGGTAGACGAATGACGAATTCCGTTGTTGGATGTGGGAAGAGGAGGACCCTTGGTGAGTATGAGAGAAAGCTGGAAGCAGAATGGTCTGAGCAAAGTTAGATTTCTGGCCGGGTGTGGTGGCTCACGCCTGTAATCCCAGCACTTTGGGAGGCTGAGGCAGGAGGATCACCTGAGGTCAGGAGTTCAAGACCAGTCTGGCCAACATGGCGAAACCCCGTCTCTACTAAAAATACAAAAATTAGCTGGGCATGGTGGCAGGTGCCTATAATCCCAGCTACTCAGGAGGCTGAGGAATGAGTATCACTTGAACCCAGGAGGTGGAGGTGGAGGTTGCAATGAGCCACAACCAGGAGGTAGAGGTTAAGATTATATCTCTGCACTCCAGCTTGGGTGACAGAGGGAGACTGTTTAAAAAAAAAAAGAGTTAGATTTCTGATGGAGCAGAGTGGGAGAGATTTGATCTGGAAAAGGTTTGGGAAGGTTCTGTCTTGGCAGGACAGGGATTTGAGAGGATGTTGTGAAGATGAGTGGTCAGGAGGTGTGGGTTAGGAAGAGGAAGGGTACAGTGACCACTGAGGTCCCCTCCAACTCAAGGGTTGTGTGATTTTGACAAGTTCTGATTCTAAGGACGGAGGTTGTGTCAGGCGGTGCACCTGGTTATACTTGTCTTCTGTCAGCAGCCACCTCTTCTTCACCCATGGCCTATCACCAGCTTTCCAGCGGGTGGTAGTTTCTATTCAGTGGAGGCTTAAAAGCCCCTGACCTTTGCAGCGAGTGGGTGGAGAGTGGGGAGGGGAGCATGACTAGGAGGCAGGAGGGCCAGGAGACAACTCTTTCAAGAAACGCAGCAGCAAATGAGTAGGAAAGAGAGATGGTGGCAGTTTCAAGGGGTAGAACAGCTTTTTCTTCTTTCTTTAATGATGGATGGGGAGAAATGGAGGTTTGAAGAAGTGTTAAGTGTTGAAAGTTCCAAAGGGGAGGAAACAAGGGAAGATCAGGACCTTAGATGAACAGGTTGACCTAGATAGAGTCACCTCTGACTCCCAGAAAAAAGGTGAGATAAGTAAGGAAGCCAAGGGCTGGGAAGGCGGAGCGGCCAGTTGCTGGAATTGACCGTCCGCCAAATGTTAATAGAGGGAGATGTGGCATTGACTGAATTCCACACACACGGAACGTAGCAGCCCCTCACCCCAAGGAGTTTTGTATCTAGCAGAGAGAGAACGGCTACAAGAGCAGGCAGATATATCGTGGGATCAAAAATGAGTACAAGTGGAATGTTTGGAGGTTACATTTGAAGAGAAAACCACAGCCATCCGGGGAGTTTCAGGAAAGGCCTCGGGAAAGGGCAGCATGTGAGAGACACCTTCGGTGCCAGGCCCAGGCCAGGGCAGGGAGGGATCATAGGCAGCGTGTGTGTTTGGAACAAGTTATCCCAGGGCGTGTATAGCTCTTGGGAAGGGCAAGCTGGGGTCAGATGGTGAGGACTGATTGCTAAGAAGAGAAGTTCTTCCTCATTTCTGTGGACATTGGAGAGTCTGAAAGTTTTCAAGTAGGGAACTGATGTGATTAGTTAACACAGTTTGAGAATGACATGTTGGCAGGTGCGGGATGAATGGGGGAGGAGGGCTGGGCCTGGAGGCTCAGGCAGCCATCTGGGTAATGAGCCCGTAGGGGGCTGGGAGGTGAGAGGAGGTCTTAAATACCATAGCTATTAGGGACTTATAAAATGTTAACAGCCTTTTCAGATTATACTCATAAATCAGCAGACACATCTTTTTAACACCTTTTTCTGTTGTATGCTATGGTGATAAATGAGGTATTAAATTTAAGTTTCGTTCGTTTTAATTGGTGTAATTTGTATTATCCTTTGAGTTGTAATTTATGTGCAGAAAATACAGTGATGTTGGGTAGTTAAAACATTCTGTTAACCAGAACAGCGGTTGTGTAAAACTAGGAGTCTGCATATTAGGAAAAAAAAAAATCACATCACCTGACTAAAGTTTTCGAGCTCAGGATTCACCGTGGGTGTGTTGTCCCGGTGGTGGGTGCGGAGGCTGGAAGTGAGGAAGACAGTGATCATGCCTGCCTGGGCCTCCTGCGTCCACACCTGCTCTCTCCCGTGTCCACTCCATCCACTTCACCACGAAGCAGGAGGAATCTTTCAGGAATGCAAACCGGGTTCTTGGCAGTCCCTTGCTCACAGCTCTTCAGGGGCTACTCGTGCTCTTGGGATAAACAATTCTTTGTCACTGTCACCTGCCATGTCCTGCGCAACCCACCCCTGCCCACCTTACTATCCTTGTTCCCCTCTACTCAGTCTTTGCGGGCAGAGATCACTTCCTCCAGCACATCCTACCCTTCCCTTTGGGGCCTTCACTGAGGCCGCGGCCTGGAAATGCTCCTTCCTCATTCAGCTCTACTCATCCTTCAAATCTCAGCTTAAAGGCCGCCTTCTTGGGGAAGCTTTTGCTGACGCTTCAATTAAGATAGCTCCTCCTGCATTATAATGTGCTGTTCTCTCAGCCTCCAATACCTCTGCACCTTGCCACAGTGGTTGTACATCTCTCACTGTAATTCTTGAGGCTCTGCCACCCCCACTCCCAGAATGCATCCTTCCTGTAGGCAGAAGCCGGACCATCCTGCCCTCCACTCCTTGCCCAATCCCAGTCCCAGATTTCCCACAGCCCCGGCCTGCGAGTGGGGCTGAGTGACTGCACTATCCCAGAGCAGGTGTCCCCACTGCAGGTTTACCAGGCAAACCTTTAAAAAGTATTATAAATGATGACTGTGAAACGGGAGGGGGCCGAGGGATCACTCTGGGCAGGTTGCTGGAGCCTGCTTTCTGTGGGCTCTGTGCAGGGACATGGGAATGACAGTTATTCCGGGTCTCCTTCATCTCAATGGTTGTCAACAAGGAATTTCGCCTGGGTTAATTTACTTGGCAGACCTTTTCTTGGTAGACAATGCCGTGATCAACTTCAGCCCAGCCCGGATCAGATAATCATTAAAGCCAAATGAGCAGTCAAAATTAATGACGTTTTACTTTGCTTCATGAATATAAATACTGCAAGAAAATGGAGGGAATTACCTTCTTGCCACTTTGGAGTCATTCGTGATTTAAGGGGCGCTGTTTTTCACACGTGAATGTTTTCTATGAGAACTATAAAGTTACTGAATGTTCTCAGTAGAGTGGCTTATGTGTCATGTGTTGCTTTTTAGTGCAGGATCTGGGGACCAGCTTGGGACTTTTTCCTTGGGTTGGTACAGTGTGATTGTCACCAGGAGAGGCCTGCGGCTGCCAGGGGGTGGTAATTCTGTCCCAACAACTTATAGAACCACGGGCACAGGTGGCAGAGTGTTGGGGCAATAGGCAGACTGCTGCTCAGTTTTTAAGCTGTTTCTAGAACATGGTGTGTTCTAGAGACTTGCAGGGATTTGATGCCCACAGTACCTTGTCTGGTCCTGTCTGCATGTGCTGTGGCCAGGGCTGTGCTGGGTAGAGGTGGGTGTGTGGGACAAGGAGCACGTGTGCATCTGTGTGCTGACACTCAGGGTGCTTGCTCTGGAGCAGCTGGCAATGGGGTCAGGTGGGATGGACGTGGAGAGGGAGGGCTCTGCAGAGGCCTTTCAGGGCTGAAGGGGAAGTGGGGAGAGGGGTTTCCAGGCCTCTGCCCACCTCAATTCTAGCAGCACTGCATTTGCATATTGGAGATCCCCTCATGATTTCAGTGGAATAAAACATTCATTCCAGGACTGAAAATGTTGAAAACCTGAAGTTTTCCTTTATATCGGGATGTGCAGCGGACTCAATAATTATATATTGGTTCCTGGGCATTTACCAGGCATCAGGCATTCAGAGGCATTCTGCGTTCTCTCTTCATTCATCCTCACTCAGCTGTGCAAAGGATATACTAGTTTTATTATCCCCACTTACATATAAGCAGCCCACGGCCTAGGCATGCTAAGTGAGTTGTCTGGGATTCAGAGTCAGTTCAGTGTGTCTACAGAAATGGCCTCCAACTCACCCACCTACTGCCAAGTCACTGAGTTCTTGGTCTCTGAGCCTGCAGAACAGTTTCTTGGTTTCTTCGTCTGCAGAACAGGGAAAATGAAATTTTTCACAAAATCAGACATCACATGCAAAGCAGCCAGGAGTAGACCATTGTAGACACTTGGTGAATGTCACTCTTCACCAAGAAACAAGACTGCCTTTGGGTTCGGCTGGCTCATACATTTATTTGGATGTAGTAGGTCAGTGTCTTGTTTGATTATCACAGTGGTGAGGTCCATGCAGGTAGCTATAGGGTGGGAGAATCAGTCACCCTCGGGTCCTGCTCTGACACATACAGGCTGTGCAGCCTGAAGATCTAGGGGAATATCTGTTTCTTCCTAATACCTGTAGATTAGGGATCATATCAGCAGCTTTCTGGGTTGTGTTGAGGTTGAAATAAGATGAATACATACAGAAGTTCCTGCTGTTCTGTAAATATTTGAATCTGCACCCGCGTGTAGCTATGTGAGATCATTCTTAACGGCAGTACTTAAGAACATATAAATTCCACTGTGGGCTCATGATGAACTTCACTTCTCTTCTGGCTGGTGGACCTGTGCTCATTATCATTCGATGAATTGGCTCAGTGTGCAGGATGGCATGCTGAGATAAACGCTAGCCCTTACTTTAGACTAAATACCCCCAAAAGAGAGTGATCAACAGGAGAAAATCAAAGCCAAAAAAGATCATTAAAGAGTCGTTTAGGAGCAGATATGTGTTCATTGTTAAAATTTCCCAGCTGAAAAACTAAACAAACAGCACTTGAGCTTTCAGAAGAAAATGCCATTTGTAACATTGAGATTTGCGAGGCATTTGGTGCCATGTGAGTGCCGCTTGCCCCGTAGGTGAGTGAGTCTGTGTAGACCACGAGACAGGTATTCAATATGCAAATTCCTCATGGCACATGGGGAAGGTTTAAAAGAATGATTCTCATGCTTTCTAATCAAGTCACAAGGGGGCAAATGTCCTTTTTCACCACCTCGACTTTCCTAAGAGTCCCTAGGAGAGCATCTGTAGGTAATAGTTTTCATCTAGAATCTATCAGAGAGGTATTATTTATTTTACTCATGTAAATAATTAGGATTAAGGGTTGTTGCCCTGCACTGCTAACAGGGGGACCGGCATGCAGACCACTTCTCTCTTTGGCATGCAGGTTGTTTGCTGTGACTACCACACATGTTTCTGCACTGGCTTCAGAAGTTAAGGCTTGCAGGCATTCTTCCTGGGCTCCCTAAGCAGCTGTAATCACCCTGACCCCAAACACTCTGAGCATCAGTTCACCTCAATTGTAAATCCCTCAGGCCAACCGCCGTGGTCAGTCGGCATTGCCCTAAGCTGATGGGCCTGATTAAACTAAGTGTGGCACACACTGCCCTCCATCTAGGATGTAGAATGTCACTTTTCTTCTCACGTTTGCCTAGCTAATTTCCAGTCACTCTTCCAGACTCACTGATGAGGCAGGAATCGCTTTTTCTGGAAAGTTTTTCCTGATTTTCCATCACGTGGATGCCACTTTCCACCTTTTCCCCTAGAATCCTGGGCTTGTGCATTTATGAATTTTTCCACAAGGTGGCGCTCATGTCAGTGTCCTCCCCGCCCCCGGCCGCCTTGCTAGCCCGGGAGTACACTAGGAGGGCGCTCCTGTCTCCCATCTCCGGGCAGGGCACAGTCCCTGATGGTAATAGCTTGAACAAATGTTTGCTGAGTTTATGAATTTTAACATGTTTTCTAGTGTAAGGATTATCAAAATTAAGACTTAAACCTTCTCGCTTCTGAGACAACATTGCCATTATTTAATGGTGGAGGTGTAAAGGGGATGCCGAGTTGTACTCCAGAGCTCTCTGAGGAGGGTCTAATTTAGCGGGTCTCCCCATGGCTTCGCATCAGAACGGCAAGGGGCTTTGAAAAAACACCCACACCTGGGCTCCAGCTGGGAGCAAAGAGAACATATATTCTCTGAGGGTGAGGCCTGGTATTTGTGTGGTTGCGGGTCTTTTTTTTTTTTTTTTTTTTTTTTTTTTTTGAGTCTTGAGGTGATTCTGAAGTGCACCCAGGAGTAAGAGCAGCCAGCGAAAGTGATCAGAAGCGACTCCTATTTCCTTCCTATGTCTCGTTATCGTCCCTCAGTGGTCACAGTCCTTTCCCAGGCCACCCCCTGCATCCACCTCAGGTAGGATAACCTCATGACAGAGTTTGGGAATGCTCAATAGAGTCACTTCCATAGAAAATACTTCTTCCATTGCTCAAGCAAGAAGAGAATTTAAGCATAGGACAGGAATCTTTTAATCATAATACGGACACCAGCAACAATATAAATAAAAAGATTGCCCGTATTCATTGGGAATGCAAATTTAATCTGTTTTTATTTGTGGTGAAATATACATAAAATTTACCATTTTAACCATTTTGAAGTGGACAGTTCAGTGGTATTGATTTCATTCACATTATTATGCAACCATAACCACTGTCCAAACTGTCCAGCTCCACACCTTTTTCATCACTGAACCAAAATTCTATGCTCACTGAACAATAGCTCCTGACTCGCCCCTCCCCTCAGCCCCTGGTTATCACAATTCTACTTTCTGTCTCTGAATTAGACTATTCTGGGTACCTCATATAAATGGAATCATATTTGTCCTTTTTTTGCTTATTGAGCATAATATCTTTAAGGTTCATTCGTATTATGTATCAGAATTTCATTCCTTTTTAAGGCTACTAATATTCCATTGTTGCGTACAGACCACAATTCGTTTATCCATTCGCACAACCATGGACGTTTGGCTTGTTTCCACTTTTGGCCACTGTGAATAATATTGCTATAAACACTGGTGCACAGATATCTGTTCGAGTCCCTGCTTTAGATTCTTCTGGATGTCCAGAAGTAGAACTGTTGGATCACAGGTAATTTTTTGTTTAAAGTTTTTGAAGAATCACCCTATTTTCTCCAGCAGCTGCATCACTTTACACTCCCGCAGCAATGCAGGAGGGTTCCAGATTCTCCATATCCTCACCAACACTTACTTGCTACTGTTTTGTTGTATTAGTTTTTTTAGTAATAGTTACCCTAATGGGGATGAAGTGGTATCTCATTCCGGTTTTGATTTGCACTTCCCTAATGATTAGCGATGTTGAACATCTTTTCATGTGTTTCTTGGCCATTCGTACTTTCTTCTTAGAGAAATGTCTATTCAAGTCCTTTATACATTTCTATAAAATGTTTATGTATTTATTTGGCTTTGCCAACTAAGTGGATTTTCTCACAGTTCTGGAGGCTGGAGGTCCAAGGTCAAGGTATCAGCATGAGGGTTCCCCTGAGGCCTCTCCGTGCTCGCAGATGGCCTTTCTTCTGCGGCATGCATTCCTCCACTCTCTCCTCTTTTTATATCAGTCATATTGGACTTCACCCATTTTTGAATTGGGTTGTGTGGTTTATTGTTGCTGAGCTGTAGAAATTCTTTATATTTTGTGTATTAATCCTTTATCAGATATGCTGTTTACAAATATTTTTCCCATTCTGTGGGTTACCTTTTCTGCTCTGTTGATACTGTCCTTTAATGCACAAATGCTTTAGTTTTGGAAGAAGTCTAGTTTATCTATTTGATTTATTTATTTTTTTGAGATGGAGTCTCACTGTGTCACCCAGGCAGTGTGCAGTGGTGCGATCTCGGCTCACTGCAAGCTCTGCCTTCTGAATTCATGACTTTCTCCTGCCTCAGCCTCCCGAGTAGCTGGGACTACAGGCACCTGCCACCACGCCCGGCTCATTTTTTGTATTTGTAGTAGAGACAGGGTTTCACCGTGTTAGCCAGGATGGTCTCGATCTCGTGACCTCATGATCTGCCCGCCTCAGCCTCCCAAAGTGCTAGGATTTACAGGTGTGAGCCACCACACCCGGCCTATCTACCTGATCTTTTCTCATCTGTGCCTTTGGTGTCATATCTAAGAAGTCACTGCTGAATCCAGTCTCATGAAGCTCTCCTCGTTGTCTTCTAAGAGTTTTATAATTTGAGTTCTTAAGCTTTAGTCTGCTATTAGAGAAAGAATAACAAACTTTCGTTTATCCATAATGGTTGAGGGACGGGGGCAGAGTATGGTCTTTTTATAATTAACTGTAATAAGTTTTACCATTTCTACATTCCTCCATCCATTAAAAAGATCAAGATTAGAAAGTAGGGAAATATCCAAAACCGTGCTGGAAAACAGAAAAGGACATGTACAGTGAAGTTTCTGGGAGAAATGCGAGGCTAAGTTTGGATGGACAGACAGAGGAGGGGGATCATATGAGAAGTAAGAGGATGATGTCCTCATGGGAACCCCTGGAAACCCCTATTCTCAGAGTGCAGAGATCCAGTGGGCTAAAGGGGGCTGTGCCTCAGACACATGCCATCAAGCCCTTACACAGCTTCCTCGTTTGGCAGAGAATGCCCCCACGTCAGGTGGGGGTTGTGTGGTAGCTCCCGGTTCTGCCTGACTTCTGGGCAGTTTCCTCCCATTAACATGGAGGGAAAAGCTCTATCACAGCCCGCTGGTGAAGCCGCCTCTAAAGTGTTGAGTTTCCCTGAGTAACTCCCTGGCTTCTCTATGGAAACGGCTCAAAGTGGCCACAGGTGCGCCTAAAATAAAGCCTCTCACAATTGCTGACAAAGACCAACACAAGCCATCAATGCTGCTCCACCTTGACTTCTGTTTGCAAATATGAGTAGATAATTTAAAAAAGTAAACCAAGACACAGGAGTTCTCACTGAAACAGTATAGGAATCAAGAGAGAGCTTCTAAATATTCTAGAGTTCATTCTCAGATTTTAAAAGATGATGGCATCATAAAACAAGAGCCAGCAGCTGAGGAAAGAGTCACTGGAGAACAGGCAAGGATTCCTGTAAATAAAAGGCATGACTGCTGGAATAACCGCATGTGAGAGGCTGATAGCATCGAGGCTCTAAGTTCAGTGATATTGTTAGGGTTGCAATGCGGACAAGTGGATCCCAACGCCCTCCTCCAGGAATTCTTCCAAAATAGGAGCAAAAGTACAAAGAAATGGAAATGTCGGTGGAAGGAGACTCATAAATCCAGCATGTTCAGTAAGAGTTCCAAAATTAGAAAGTAAAACAAATATATATGAAATATCAAGAAAGAAACAGGGCTGGTTGTGGTGGCTCACATCTGTAATCCCAGCACTATGGAAGGCCAAGGCAGGAGAATCGTTTGAGGCCAGGAGTTTGAGACCACCAGCCTGGCCAACATGGTAAAACCCCATCTCTACTAAAAAGATAAAAATTGGCTGGGCATGCTGGCGCATGCCTGTGATACCAGTTACTGGGGAGGCTGAGGCAGGAGGATTGCTTGAATCCAGGAGGCAGAGGTTACAGCGAGCTGAGATCATCCCACTGCACTCCAGCCTGGGTGACACAGCAAAACTCTGTTTCCAAAAAAAAAAAAAAAAATTAGCCAGGTGTGGTGGTGCACACTGTAGTCCTAGCTACTTGGGAGGCTGAGCTAGAAGGATCACTTGAGCCCAGGGGGTGCGAGGCTACAGCCTGGGTGACAGAGTGAGACCCTGTCTCTAAAAATCAGAAAGAAACAGGATACAAGTTCCAATAATACTTGAGTTTTGAGAATGGTTCCATTGCCAGGTTTGAATTTGGGCTCTGCTACTTCCTCAGAGTGAGCTTTTAGGCAAGTTACTTAGCCTTTCAGTGCCTCTGTTTCTTCATTTGTAAATTATGGTAGTAATAGTATCTACCTAGTGGGGTCACTGTGAGGATTAAGCAGGTTAATACAGACAGAGCACCTAGAACAAGGCCTGGTTCACTGTGAATGTTTCTTAAAACGTAGCTGCTGTTAAGCCAACTGTCACTGCCACCACTACTCTTAGTTCTTAGAATGTACAGGTACGCGGCTGCCCCGTGAAAGCGTCACAGTCGGTCGGCTTTACCACTCCAGTCTCTCTCTCTACCTCCTCTGCCACATTGCCGCCTCCACCCCCATGCCCCGTCATCTCTTACCTGGACCAGCAGTAACCTCCTAACTAGCTCCACAGCTTCTTTTGTTATCCCCAGTATTATGCTCCCTGACCTGTTAGGCTCCGGCTTACAACATTTCTGCAGCTCCCCTTGTATTTCATTTCTCCATGGCCTCCCAGGCATGGTTGGGCATCCCCACCCCCGAGCCTTCCTGAAGTCATTTTCCTTGTGTTCTCTGTGTGCTCAGCTTCAGTGGCTTGCTGTCCCACCTCACAATCCTGCCATCACGTGTACTTGTCTCTGCCTGGAAGGCTCTTTCCTCAACCCACCTGCCTCTCTCACTCCACCCTTCATATTCCAGCTTAATCATCCTTGGTCCACCCTGAAGGGTCAGATTTCCTCACATAGCACCCGCACCCTTCCTTCATAGCACTCACTACCATGTGTGCACCTGCACCATGACCAACATTCCACCTCCCTGACAAGACTGTACCGGGGCTATAGTGACTCAGATGCAAATCCTGACTGATTTTGCTTACCACCTTTTCCCCAGTTCCTAGCACTTTGCGTGGTATGTATATTTTTGTTGAACGAATGAATGAATGAATCCCAAGTTTAGAACAACTGTGCCAGGATTTAATAATAAAACAATCCCAAGGGTATTCAGAGGGGGTCGGGGGGAAAACTGCTTCTCTATGAAGGAGGGAAAAATCAGACTAGCATCAGGTTTTTTTCTATAACCCTGAACGATACAGAATAATGGAGAAAGGTGTTTAGAGTTCTGAAGAAAAGAAAGGATCCTAGAATTTTGTACCCCGTGAAATTATTATGTCTGTGTGAGGGCAAAAGAGACATTTCAAATATTTTTCTCAAAACAACAACAACAAAAACAACATTAGTTAAGGAAAGCACTTTAGCCAACGTGAATTAGAATAAGAAACTAAAAAATAGGGAGGTTGCTGTACCAGATAAAGTAGTAAGCAACAAAAGTGGCAATTTTTATGATTAAAAGTGGATACTAACTAACGTGATTGTGAAGTTTAAAGCTGTTCGTTGGAATCTGGAAATAGGAGAAGCAATGTGAAAATGAAGTTTTCAAATAAAAACGCTGGTATATTTCAATGCCCGCTGGTGAGGGAGAGCATAGGAAATGGGGGAATAGGTGCCCACTGCAGATGTAGTCTCATTCAAAAAGGTGGGGGGGAGGGGGGCTTTAATTCATGATAATAAGAGAAATATCAGTTCCTTAAAAGCTCCTTAAACAGTTAAAATTATTTTAAATAAGATATTTTAAAGGCAACCACAGTAGAATACATATAAAACAAAACCTTTTCAACAATTAGAGGGAGAAACCAAAATGAATTCAAAAAGAAAGGAAAAAAGCAAAAAAAAAGTATATAATGAACCTAAGATAAAACCAAACATGATAACCACACTAAGTGTGAAAAAAATTAAATTGCTCTAAATAAAACACAGCAGCAAAGCTGTATCTCATATAAAAGACACCTAAAAATGTGATAGAGATGGACAATAAATAGATAAACTATAGTATCCTAAGGAAGGACAAACAACAAAAGAGCAGGAGTGTTTACATTTGTGTTGAACAAAGCAGAAGTCAAGGCCAAAAATATTGAATGAGAAGGAGAGGAACATTTTGTATTGATGGAAACTATGTACACCACAAAAGTACAGCATTCATCAGCCATTGTGTACAAGTTATCAATGAGTCCAAAAACTAAAGGCAGACATAAATAAAAATAGAAAATTTGACAAAACCATAATCATAGTAGACATGTTTAACACACCTATCTAAATCTGACAGATTTAAGCAGACAAAAGGCTGTAGAAAATGGAATATATAAAAAACTTGATCTAATAATTATATATAAAACACTGTACTCAATATACACAGAATATACCTTTATTTCAGGTGTTCATGAAACATTTATAAAAATTGAAACTGTATCAGGCCATAAAATCTTAAAAAAGTGCTTGTATAGGCTCAAAGCACTACACTAGAAACTAATAATAAATTACATAATAATGATAATTAAAAAGGGGTGTGGAGTTAGATCTATTGACAAGTAGGTAACCAGAGGTAAACTGACAGCTGGAGAAGCATGGATGGTTTGATCCTTGCTCAGAAGCCTGGTCCCTGGCCAGTCTTTCCCTGTGCTTCCCCATCAGTTTTTGCAGGGAGGAACACAGGATTACAAAGGTCATGGCTGGCTTATGGAAACACAAGCTGTAATTGAATCTCAGGTATCTATGCCTTTGTACCTTAGGACAGTATGTTTTACCCACAGTTGGTTTTAAATATAGAAAGGCATTCAAAGAGATAGACCCTGAGGAGAAGTGGGGAAATGTGGACAGTCTTACAGGCAGGTGCCTTAAGCAGCTCCACCCCCGTTGCCACCACATTCATGTCAGTCTTGGCCTGAACATATCTTCAGGCTACACCAAGGTTCAAAGTCAGTGTAAGGTAAGATTGGGCTGCAGGATTTTGCATGCAGAAACCATCAGTGCTGTTAGAAGCCCCTTTGAAGGAGTGAGAAGGAGAAAAACTTGTACAGAGGAGAGAGTACAGGTTACTCTAGGTACTTAAGACCAGGACTTGATGGTAAGAGAGCCTACGGGCAATGTCCAGGAAGAACCCATAGCTCTGCAGGAGAGGCAGAGGGTCAGGGGAAAACTGCCTGGCCATGGAGTGAGAGTTGGACCACCCCAATCCTGCTCCTTCTCTTTTGTGTCTTGGGTGAAGGAGTAAAATGCCTTCCAGGTTCTGATATAAGCTCCTTTGTCCTAGTGTCCAGGCCTGCACTGGTGACCTTCTCCAGCACTCTCTGTACCTGTGCTGAACACCCCAGGTGGGGCCCATCTGTCTGCTTTTACCTAGACCACCTAGTGCAGCAGACACTTGGCTGGTCTCTCTACCTCAGGCAGTTACTGTACTGCTGCCAGAGAAATTTTCCTAAAAGTGACTTTTGATTAGAATCTGGAGCCAAGGTTGCCTGCCACAGGGTAGGGTACAGAGTCCTGGGCATAAGCAGCTTTACAGCCTTGTCACTCGTCATTGCTGCTGCAGCCTAAGACTTGGCCTCATAACTCTCCCTTCCTCTACATGGATGCTTCAAAGTCCCTCTTAGATTTCAGTGTCTCCAAAGCCCTTACTCATTCTAGTCAGATAGCATTTGCTTCTCCAACTCCTGTGCTCCCAAATCTCTGTACTTACATCTTTTATAGCGTCTGTGGCACAGCTGTGCCCATATCTGTTCTTCTAATTAAACTAGGAGTTGCCAGAGGGCAGAGACCACATTCAGTATTGTGTTACCAATACTGAAAACCAGCAATAGGCCCATAAAGAGTTTCTGAATGAGTGAATAATATCAAAAGGAAGATGAAAAATGAAAGATAGCATCCTTTAGATTGGTGAATGTTCTTTTTTTAATGATCGTGCTTAACAAAGAATGCTTACTATGTTTCCAGGTACTGTTCTGTTTGTTTACATATATCCATTTAAGATTTACAATAACCAGACAATATGATAACTGTCTGCATTTTACATTTGTGTAAACCAAGGCAGAGAACAGTTAAAGTACCTTCCTGAGTGACTTTAATAGTAGATGGCAGAGCAAGGATTTGAATTCAGGCCCTCCAAGTTACAAGCTTTCACTCAACTCCCGTCCTTCCCCTCACACTATTTCATTAAAACAGGTCTTTAGGAAACTCTGAAGATTTCCAGTCAGAAACCAACACAGCTTCCATGTGAAACTAGGTGGTGATGTAATAGCTTCATTAGTGAATCCCTGAAGAGCTACTATTTAAAAAATTATTTCACCAGTATTCACTAGGATTGGGGATTAAGTACCTTCTTCACCATGCTCTGCTATATTTTCTGGGTTGGACTAGAGTGGCTTAGTTTGACCAATTCAGTAACCATGGCCTCTTACCCAGGCCATGTCAAGCATGTTGACTCTGCTGTGCCCAGCATATACAAATAAACTCTGATGGGTTTATTTCCCATCAGAGTCTTTTTGGTTCTAAACTTCAGTGTTAGTTGTGCCCACTAAAAAATAATTCATGGATATTTTCAGTATTCAGTTCGTTAAACCTCCTTATATTATGTTTGGTTGTTAGGATCAGATTTTCCATCCTTGCTCAGCATCCTGATTGTTTCCTTAGAAGATTCAGTTTTCTATGATAGTTGTTTGTTTTCAGAGTAGAGATTTAAATGAATTGTTTATAGATTAAATAAAGAACACTTCTTAGAAATGCAGAGTGTTTCACTCTTTTCCATGGAAAATAATGGCTGCTAAATACCTTTTGAGGAATTTTTAAAATTAGACTTTTTTTTAAGTTTCACCTTGAAACAATTATAAAGTTTCAGTCAGTATTCTGCAGCAGATGAACAGACCTGTTTAACAAGCAAGGCATGCTTTTTCATTCTTCTTCCACACCAGAAGAAAATAATTCTAATTCATAATTGGAAGTAAATGCGGGAAGTTATGGTTCTGTTTACTCGTTAGGAAAGGGTAGATTTGGAAGAAAATCTATCATGGCTGTGAAAGAGCACTTCATGACACATGAGCATTCGGTCTTAGAGCCATGAAAATTATAAAGGAACACTTGCAGAAAACAGTGGCAATTTGGAATAGTAAATAAGCAAAGGAAACATTCCTTTATACAGCCTTCTTTTCTGCTTTCTAGATCTGATTTAAATCTCGTGGAAATGATTCCTAAATCAATTCTACTAACACATTTGTTTCTCACTTGGATAGTTTTGAGATGGCAGGGCTGGAAAGTACAGGGCCAGGGGGGAAAAAAGTAGTTAAATAGCAGTTTTCTGTTTTCAATCATCAAACCCTACATTACACTATTTTCTTTTTCTTCTATACTTACCTAACTCAATGGGTGGTAATGGGATTTGGGGTTGCAAAAAGAGTAATGTCATTGGGAATGACAGAGTAAGGACTTCTGAATATTCTCTCATCCATAAAAACAATGAGAACACTGGCAAAATTTGTCACAATCAACTTTTTAAGAACTATGGAAATTAGCTAAAAGCATGCAACAATCTGGGAAGTTTTGTTTTTTGTTTTTTTTTTTTAAAAAAAAACAAGGCTAAATCTTGGTAAGAGCAGTACTGCAGTATGTCAATTTGCCCTATTCCCATCCCCTTCTCTCCATTTCCTCCATGGTAGATTTGAAAACCAACAGCCCTGTAATCATGGTGAAAACCAGCAGCATAGCAGTTAGTAGAAGGGCAGAACAGGGTTGGGACTCATTCAGAGCTCCATTCTAAGATAATTGTCATTATTTGATCAGTCTAGCAATTCCCTAGAAAACCCTATTCACAAGGCTTGTGTTTATTTGACCTCATTCACCAGAGCAAACAGCCTTTTCCCTGGGGGCATTTGTCAAAAACAGCTTGTGGTGACTCTTTACCATCACAGCTCCCTGAGGCAATAACAGTTGTAGCAAACAACAAGCTAAGCAAAAAACTTCATTCCATAGGGGCATTTGAAAAGTTCTGACATATTTCTGGAAGGCCATGTGGATGTGTAGGACTGTATGCATGCCCAGGGCTATGTACTTGTTCAAGAAAAGCCTTACAAAGCCCTCAGTTTTCCCCTCTTAGTATTGCGAGCCCCTGTGCAATGAAGATGTGAAAGCTAAGGCAGTTGTAAATTGCCTGGCTGAGTGTTGAAAGCATGCCCAAATGGACACAGAGCATCTTGGCAAAGACTGAGAGTCTCTGGTTCCAGGCATTTAAGGAAATCTGTGTCCAATATTTAGTTGACCTCTAAGCTAACTGAACACAGACTTCTTTGCCCATACTCAGCAAAGAACACAGAATTTACAAAGTTAGTTCAAGAAAGTCACTAAAACAATAATGACAACAATAAAAGAACAACTAACCTTAGAGAATCTGATTTCCAGAGTTGTCACATTATATTATTTCAAATGTCCAGTTTTCAGCAAAAGATTACAAGACATGCAGAGACAAAGCATGACTAATACACAAAAAAGCAAGCAGTTGATAGAAAATGTCTGGACATTAGACTTGCTAGGTAAAAACTTTAAATGAGATATTTTAAATATATGGAGTTCACTAAAGATAATCATGTCTAAATAGCTAAAAAAAAAATAGAATGATGTCTCACAAATAGAGATCAATAAAGAGATAGAAATTATATATTTTTTAAAAAGAACCAAATAGAAATGCTGGAGTTGAAATGTATACTAATAAAAACAAAAAATTCAATAGAGGGGCTCAAAGCAGTTTGAGCAGGCAGAAGAATCAGTAAATTTGAAACATAGGTAAATTTATATGATCCAGTTTGAGGAACAGAAAACAGAATGACGAAAAATGAACAGGGCCTCATAGTCTTATTATTTACATATACTAATATACATACTCTGAGTCGCAGAAAAAGAGAAAGGGGCAAAAAGAATATTTGGAAAAAAAGTTAGAACTTCCCAAATTTGTAGGAAAAACATTAAACATTCAGGAAGCTCAGTGGATTCCAAGTAGGATAAACTCAGAGATTCACACCTAGACACATCATAATCAGTTGAAAGTCAAACATGAAGAGAATCTTGAGAGTGGCAAAAGAAAAGTGAATATGATTAACAAAGGTTCTTTAATAGCCTTTGTTTATTAACAAAGGCTGATTTCTTATCAGAAACCACAGGGACTAGAAGGCAGTGGGATGACAGATTCAACGTACTGGAAGAAAGAAGAAGAAGAAAAAGATCAAGAATTCTATATCCAGTAAAACTACCCTTCAAAAATGGAGAAATGAAAATATTCCCAACTAACAAACACCATGAAAATTCATTGCTAGTACATGTGCCCTACAAGAAATACTCAAAGGAGTCCTTTAGGCAAAAGTGAAAGGATGTTACACAAGAACTCTAATCCACATGAACAAATAAGAACACTAGTAAAAGTAACTACATAGGTAATTTTGAAAGGCGTATCAATGTAATCTTTATAGCTCCTTTCTCCTGTTTTGAAAAACAACTACATAAAGCAGTCATCAAAAATCTGGTTTGGGGCACAAAATGTATAAAGATATAATTTTTATGACAATAGCACAAATGAGGGGCAAAAAATGGATCTATGTAGGGGCAAAGTTTTTTATACGGTTGAAATTAAGTTGGTATTAATCTGAACTAGACTGTTAGAAATTGAAATGTTAATTGTAATCCCCATGGCAACTGCTAAGAAAATAACTCAAATGATAAATGACAAAGGAATTACAATTGTACACTAGGAAATATTTGTTTAACAATAAAGAAGGCAGTAATAGAGAAATAGAGGAATAAAATAACATTAGACATATAGAAAACAAATATTAAAAAGACAAATGTAAATCAATTCATTGGTAATTACATTAAACATAAGTGGATAAAAAATGCAATCAAAAGGCAGATGGACAGGATGTATAAAAATGATCCAACTACATGCTGTCTACA